TCAAAACTTGGCGCGCAGGAGTTATCCTGGCTCAGCATCAATAGCTGGGCCAAGTACTGATGGTTTAACAAGCTACAATTTTAGGATAGGGGCCACTACATGAGCGCCCAAATTCATCCGACTAGAAACGTTTCTACTCTATTTTTTGCTGCAGCCAATGGGTCTCGCTGCACTACTCAATACTCGTGCAACTTTTCACGAGCTGATCTAGAGCTGTCAGACTCTATAAAAGTCCCAAAACCCACGCATAGCCGCATGTGCTCTAGACTCTTGAACTTTTAGAGCAACACTATGGGATCGGGCAATTTTTCGTAAGCTTCTACGAGCTCGGAAGCTTCACTATCAGACAGAGCCAGCCTGGGTTGTCTGCCCAGACTCGAGGTGCACTCAAGGAAATTCCAGGCGTTCCGTGGGTCCTTCGGAGCTCCCTAAAAAAAACAGTCCTTGCAGGCTGGTACTCAAGAACAGCCTAGAGCGAAATTCACCCCCCCCTTCTGACAGCTCATGAAATTTAGTAACTAGAGCAAAATTCTCGAGCAGGTGCAGCGACGACAACTCTTGCGGATTTCTTGAGCTGTTTCTGACAGTTCGATAACGTTTTCAACAGTGCTCATTTCTTGAGTAGGTGCGGCTGTGCTGCACTCTTGGTTTTGCATGAGTATAACGTTCTGACGAACTAGTTTCTGTAATGCACGACTTTCGGCGCGAAGTGCTAAGAGGGGTCCTACGTCGACTGGACGGGTTCATGGAAAAATTGCATGTGTGTCCTTGGTTTCTTCGTTGTTTCTTCGTTTTCGCACAAGCCCCTGATGACAGTTGGGGACAATCCGGTAATGCACGGGGAAAAGGGGGTGAAACTTGGTCGGATGGATGCGGAGTGCGCGCCGATTGTGCGATTAATAAACGTTGACGTCGCTTCTTTTCTTTCGTTTCCCTTCTTTTAATTTTGGTTGTCGGACTTTAGGGCTCGTAGACATCGCGCGGGAATTTCGGTATCTCTTTTTGAATTTCCTTTTCGAATTTTCTTCTCGAATCTTGTTCGGAACCATACGGCCTTCGGAATTTTGATCTTCCTTTCGAACCTTTTCGTAATATCGGCAGGCTAGCTAGGAATTTAGGAATTTTGGAATTTCTGTTTTTCTTGGACGCTGCTTTACGTGTTTGCGCGCTCTTTCTTGCTGCTGCGCTAGGACCTTGATTGATTGGCGCCTTAATCCTTTCGCAACTGTAATTTTGGGCGCACACTTTTGTAACTGTATCTTTCTGTTTCTTGCTCCTTACTTTTCCCGCCTCGTTTCTTCCTCTCCCCCCTCCCTATCTGGGTAGCCGCGTTCGCATGTTCGGATCGATGCGTGGAGTTGGGTACGTCCCCCACGCCGCGGCCCGACCACGCAAACGTAAGCACTCCCTTTCCCCCATCTATCTACGTCCTTGTAATCCCGTATTCTTCGCGCATGCATGCACGCTATAAATTCCGGCTGCTTGATTAACTTGCTCTCTTAACTATTGCTGGAAGCTCGGGGTTGCGCGACGACGGACTGTCCGCACACGAGCGAAGTAAGAGGTGAGTGAAGTGGGAGTCGGGCGACCCGATGAGCTGGTGCCGAATGTGCGGGGTTGGCGCGGGCCACGACAGACTGTGGGCGCGGAGCGAACCTGACGGGTGCAGGAGGACTAAGCGGGGTGACGACTTCGTGGGTTGGTGCGAGACGACGGACTGTCGGCATCGAAGAGTGAGAGAGAGAGAGAGAGAGAGAGTTGAGGTTGAGTTGGACATGGATTTGCATCTTTCTTTTTCGTTCCTTTTTCATCTGTGTATATAAATTTTGGTGTCGATTACGGGCGACTCGCCCTTGTCTTTTGCGGCCCTCTTTGTCTTTTGTTTCGACTCGGTTTTCTCTCAATGTTTTCCGTTTTGATTTCTTTCTCGGACTTTCTTTTCGCGAAATGATGTATGGATAACCCGCGCATATCTTGCACTTCGTTTTTGATTGACGTCCCGGACTTATGAAATCGGATGGGAATGGAGATGGCATGTTGGCATGATTGATTGGATGTATATCGTCTCACAATGATCGTCTGACAAGCATGACGTGACGTATCGTATGCACGCATGTAAGTACGATCCGAACGGAGTGCGGCTTACACGCGTCCGGATCACTCGGACCCGTAATTGGTGTCCTATCTGTCGCACGAGGTTAGCCCTTCGCCAGGGCGGGAGTTGATATCCACAGGATCGGGTTAACCATCGCCCGCAAGTGCGCGTAAGTGCGACTCATTCGCGTCTTTCTTATGCACTTACGGACGGTGATTTCCCCGAACATCTTGTCCTCTAGGGTGTGTAGGATGAAAGAATGACGAGCTCGCGATGCTCCGACGTATCTTGGAATTCCGAGGATTTCGACGTGTATTTTACGGACGGTGATTTCCCCGAACAGCTTGTCCCCTAGGATGTGTAGGATGAAAGAATGACGAGCTCGCAAAGCTCCGACGTATCTTGGAATTCCGAGGATTTCGACGCGTATTTAGGATATCGGGAATTCTGGGAAGAAGAACAAAGTCCGTTACGAGGAAATCTGAGCAACCCGAAATTCCCTTGTCTTGTGGAACGCGATAGGGTATGCGCCAGGGAATTCCATCTCGCCGTAAGAAGCGATCCACGGGGACCCGATTACCCAAACACTTATAACACGCAATATTTTATATCCCCCGGTTTCGTCATTGTCGCTCTTAATTTCCCGCCTTATCATCTTCTTCTCCCCTATCATCAGCTCACAGTGGTACCGTGGAATTCCATAGCCCCCTACTGGCCGCGAACTCCGTGCAGGAATTGCAGCCGGCACGATAATTTCCGAAATCCCAGAGCCGCGGTGTTGAGACATACCCTGCACCAGCAGGCGACACGTGGCGGGACCCGAAGGCCCAGGCCCCCAGGACCACTCCGCCCGGCTTCCCCGAACCGACGAACACGTTGGGATCGGACGGTCTCGCGAAACCAACGCATAAGCCCTCGCCCGTAACTTTCCCGCCGCTTTATTGCATCTATACCCCTGAGCCTTGCCACAAGAGATCTCAGTTCTGACCTGGGACTCCACCCCCACTTTCCAAAAATCCTTGGCACACCCCTTTTCGCAATTCCAGGCCCACATCTCACTCCGATCAGGAAGTCGCGCCGGGCGTGAGGTTGGGCATCACAGCGTAGTGCAGCGAGACCCAATAGCTGGGCCAAGTACTGGTGGTTTAAGAATCAGGGGTGAGCAGATGTTGCGCCCAACCAACATACTACAGCCTTCCCCTCACCACAATGCGTGCAATGGTCAATCCCAGTGGGCAATCTACCCTTTGATTTAGGTGGGGACAGAGCCCACATCCCTTGGATGCAACTCAGGCATGCAACCAGATTGGATGTCAGAGAACAATGCCCTAACATTACCCTTCTTTTGTTTTTTCTTTTGGGCCTTGATTCCTCACACGACCCAACCCTTCCACCTCTCGCTTTTCCCTGGCACCCCGCCACTCCTCTCTATAGTACCGCAGTTGAGGACCATAACTCTTTTAACTGGAGTAGCCTGACTAGAGAGCGGTTGTGGCCCAGCACCGATGCTGATTGGGAACCCCCCCCTTCAACCCTGGTTGAGGGATTGTGTCGCTTTAACCTTGTCGCACGGGTGCCTTGGGAGTAGACTACCAGTCCCGTGAGTAGACCCTACAGTGCCCCCCCTTCTCCAGGGGTTCGTACCTTCTGAAAAATTCCTATTTTTCCAAGCTACCCCAGGCAGTGTCTAATGGCCAACTGGCCAAGAATTAGCTTTTTTTTTTTTTTTTTTTTTTTGGTGATAGAACAAGGCTCCAATCTACTCGTGGGGAGCAGCACGTGCTGGGACGAAGCCATGGCCTCGTAATCTACGAGTCTGTGGAGAGGACCACTACACTACCAAAGAGCCACACAACTATCAGGCTCGTCAGACAAGCTCATAATAACCGTGCGAAGCCTGGTGGGTTGGCACGGCGAGGTTTCGCATGTTGCACTCTTTGGACCTCTGTCCGTGCTGCCATCTCTCGGGCTCCCTCCGGTAGATCTCTGACTCGTACCTTTTGGACCAAATGTGGCCTCAATAGTTGCACACATACGTCCAGGAAAGCTCGAAGTGCGACACGCATGAATGTTGGCCATAAGCGGGTAGTAGGTTCGTGCGTGTCGCATGAACATAGCAGCATTTCTCGATTTATGCAGGGGCCATTTGCTAGTCACCCTTCTCTGTATCGTTCCAATTCCGAAGGACTGCATGAACATGAACATAGCAGCAGTGGCGCTGGCCCTAACAGGGACTTCCTACCGGTATATACTATATAGCGCCTGCCTGTGAAGTTCACGGTACGGGCAGGTGGCAGCCCGCCCCGTCTCACAACTGCCGGGGCAAGGTCCCACTTGCACGGTTTAAGAGATTCTGGCCGTTGATCCTTGCTATCTACGGTCAGTATCTCTTAATTCGTGCAAAAAGGACCAAGGCCCCGATCCCGGACCCGCTCCCGCCGGTCTCTGTCCCCCTTCCGCCGGTCTCTGTCCCGCTTCCGCCGCTGACGCCCGCCCCTCCCGCCCCTCCCGCCCCGCGAGCTCCGGCGGCGGCCGTTCCATGGAAAAAACGCGGTGGAGTGCGGCGGCCGTTCCGTGAAAAAAAGGCATGTCCGTGAATAAAAAGGCATGTTCCGTGAAAAAGTACGACGCTGCCCGCACTACCGGGGGCTAGGTCCCACTTGCACGAATCAAGAGATAGAGACCGTAGATAGCCGAGATCAACGGTCGAAATCTCCTAATCCGTGCAAGTGGGACCTTGCCCGGGGGGAGTGCGGCGCTACCGGCGGGTCACACCCCGAGAAGCGCATGTCTCGTGGTCAACCAGTAATTACCGTACGTAGTGTGGCGGAGGTATTTAGAGGCAGAGGCGGGTAAACTTAGGTTGTCTTGTGAAGTAGGTTAGCGTGACTCGGTGTGAAATAGGGCGGGAAAGGGAGAGTAGAGGGCGGGAAAAAAGGGAGGGAGAATAGTGGGCGGGAAAGCGGAAGAGGTGGTACTTGAGTGGTCCTGGGGTGAGAGAGCAGGGTGGGTTGGAGTATAGCAGCGGCGGGAGCAATCGGCGGTGGTTGTCAGCCCTCGGAGGAAGAAGAAGACGAAAGAAAGCGAGATCGAGAAGCTTTAGCTATGGCGGCCACGGAGGAATCAGCGGCCGCGCTTCTGCAGGACGTTATGGCGTCGATGAAAGTGCGACCAGATGATGATGAGGATGAGGAGGAAGTGACTAAGGAGTGGGGGAGCGTGGAGGTTGATGCGGAGGAGACCGACGCAGCGGTGAAAAAGGTGCAGGAGAAGGAAGCAGGCGGGGTGAAGGAGGAGGTTGACGACGGCGATGGCGGGGGAACTGTGGATCTGCCGGAGATGGCGTTGAAGTCGGAGAAACTGAACGAAGAAGTGGAGTCGCCTGACACGGAGATCAAGAAAGTGCTGGCCACTGACACGCCGTACACGTCAGCGAAATCTTTTGAAGACCTTAATCTGACAGAACCTCTGCTGAAAGGTCTTTACACGGAGATGAAGTTTGAGAGGCCGTCGCGAATCCAAGCAGAGACGCTGCCCATGATCCTCTCTCCTCCGTATGCGAATCTAATCGCGCAAGCGCACAACGGATCGGGAAAGACCACGTGCTTCGTTCTAGGGATGCTAGGACGTGTGGATGCCAATCTGAACGCGCCGCAAGCACTCTGCGTCTGCCCCACAAGGGAACTGGCAATTCAGGTAAGCAAGCATACAAGTGGATATCCACCCAAGTGACTGATATCCACCCAAGTGACTGATATCCACCCAAGTGACTGATATCCACAGTGGATATCAGTCCATTGGCAGGACGAAGGAAATACGTCCAAACATGGCCAACACTTGCGCTTCGTCCTCTATCTTAATCATCATCCTTGTTTTCATCCTCGATCTTTTTTGGTCATCTTCTTGTAGGAGTAACGTGGTCTCTGCTAATCCATTTGGGGATCAACACGTAGTAAAGGAGAGGATGAAGATGAAGATGAAGAAGAAGATGAGGATGAGGATGAGAATGAAGATGAGGACGACGCAATTGGTGGGCATGTTTGGAGGATCAGACGGTATATATATATATAACAGTTTGTCACAGCCCCTCGTTTGTTGTCCTCTTCTCTCTTTCTGCCTACGGTTTACCCGGGCAGTTCTGTTTGTGACGATATATATATACAGTTTGTCACAGCCCCTCGTTTGTTGTCCTCTTCTCTCTCTCTGCCTACGGTTTACCGGGCAGTTCTGTTTGTGACGATATATATATATATATCTTTGTTTCGTGGATGTTTTGCTGGCTTGTGATGGGKTGTGAACCGACAGTCTGTAGAGTTTTCCATCTGGTGTGGGKGAGTGATAGTCTACTTTGATTTTGGTTAAGGTAGATTATCATTTACAGTGTAATCAGTGAGGGGATTCTGCAGACTGTTGAGGGTTCAGCCTCCTGATGAGTCGGTGAAACTCCGACGAAACAGTTTGTCACAGCCCCTCGTTTGTTGTCCTCTTCTCCCTCTCTGCCTACGGTTTACCGGGCAGTTCTATTTGACGATATATAGTATAGTAGGTCAAATTCTGAAAGAGGAAGGACACCTGCTGAAAGAGGAAGGACACCTGCATGTTTGGAGGATCAGACGGTATATAAATTCTGAAAGTGGATATCTGTGTGTGACGATCCTCATCTTCATCATCTTCATCTTCATCTTCATCTTTGTTTGTCGTCTTCATCCTCATCTTGATCCTCGGTCTTTTTTATCCTCCTTCATTCGTTCGCGAATTCATCCTCTTCTTCATTCACATCTTTCATCCTCTTCTTCATTCACATCCTTCATCATCGTCTTCATCATCGTCTTCATCATCGTCTTCATCATCGTCTTCATCATCGTCTTCATCATCATCGCAGTCTTCACCGCCATCTTTCATCATAATCTTCGTGATCGTCTTCATCATCATCACTCAAACAGTGAACCGAGTAAAGTGATTTCTGAGGCCGAAGGACAACTTCAACGCGCTTGCTTCCTTGTCATCATCATCGTCCTCATCATTTTCATCATCCTCACCATCCTCATCATCTGCATATCTTCATCTTTCTTTTTTCCTTTCTTTTCTTTTCTTTTCTTTTCTTTTCATCATTTTCAAACGGAATTCTCGGACGTACGAAGGACGCCATCATTATCTTCGTCATCATCTTCATCTTCATCTTCATCATCATCTTCATCTTCATCATCATCTTCATCATAATCATCTTCATCACTTCATCATCATCTTCATCATCATCTTCATCATCATCTTCATCATCATCTTCATCATCATCTTCATCATCATCTTCATCATCATTTTTGAGTAGTGAGTATATTCATAGCAGGATGGGATGATAACGATCAAAAATGCTCATCATCATCATCTTCAAAGATGCCCTTACTCATCATCATCTTCATCATCATCTCCAGCCATGCCCTCACTGTTGCATAGTTATCATCATCGTCGTCATCATCACCATCGTCGTCATCATCATCATCGTCATCAGTAGCTGGTGAGCTCTGTCTCCGGCGTGTTCCTATGTATTGGCAATGACATCTTTTCTACTATCGCTTGATGGGATTGATGGGTGATGCCATTGTCTTTCTTCCGTGCATCACTCATCCATCCCATCAAGCGATCAGTCGATGAATGTATTACGAATGCTGATCGGTCTTTGGATCGATCATCTGCGTGTCGTTTGACGTGTCCATCATCTATTATCTGTTCATTTATTCATCATCGTCTAGCTGTGAGCACGTTCTTTTTGCAACCAGTCGTATTCTGCTGGAAATGGAGACCTACCAAAGAAGAGCATGTTCGTGTCGATCCACTATGTATGTGTGAGTGTGTGTGTGTGTGTGTGTGTGTGTGTGTGTGTGTGTGTGTGTGTGTGTGTGTGAGAGAGAGAGAGAGAGAGAGAGAGAGAGAGAGA